GTACTGTACGAACTGTACGTACTGTACGTACTGTACGCTAAAAAAATCTGAGTATCATATAAATGGCACATCACTAGATCTGCCACAATCATTAAATCCAGATATCATTATTAAATCCGATTTAATGATTACATCCGGATTTAAGGGTTATATCCGGATTCAGGTATTAACTCTAGTTCCGGACATGTACATGGATATTGACCGTCCATGGACATGGACATGGACAGTCCATGGACATAGAGAGACAATAGAGTGTCCAATGTCCATGTCCATGGACGTCTGTTCATGGACATGGACTGCCTATGTCCACATGTCCATGGAAAGTGTCCGGAACAACACTGATTGGTCATTATCATTTGAGTCACGAGGTCATTTCAGGTCATTTACCATCCCTGGTTCAATCCAGGATAGTAAATGACCTGGTAATTTACTCAAAATTTAAGTGACCAAGTCATTTGAGTAAATGACGTGGTCATTTGATTCATAAGGTCATTTATGTCGTTTACATATGGAGCAATTTTATTGGTCAGATAGCTAATATAAAAAGTTATCAAACGCTGTGATTCAAAATTTTACCAGGTTAATCAATAATTGCATCTTCAGCAAAGTTGTTCAGGAAAACAACTTAAGATCGATTAAATACGATTAACATAGTAAATTTCGACTTTTAGATGTATCTACGATTATTGATAATATTTTATAATAAATTACTTTACCGGTACTGTATCAGGTATGTCTAATAATCAAATTTGATTGGCTAAAAGACGTTAGATTATTATTTAATAAATTTTAAATGACCTATGGTCATTTGAATGTGAAATGACCCAATGACTGGTCACTAGTCATTTGGGTCATTTCAAGTCAATTACCATCCCTGGTTCCATCCCGATTTGACATCGATATACGTACATAACTATATGATTTTTAAATTAAAATCATTAACAAAAATCAAATTATTATTGTTGCATAAGCGGGTTTATAAATTGTTTCATAAGCATTTCATAAGCAATTTACAACTACTGAACTAAGAACCAAAAAATGCAATTGTACAACTCAATTTTAGTATATGAGTGTCGCAAGGAAAAACCTGTTATTCTTCATCTAATAAGGATTACGGTTTTCCTTTTGTGGCACTCATATATTTTATACTTTAAAATTTTTTCTTATATCCAACCCGAAATCCTTAATAATACCAAATCAAAAAATTCCCACCGCATATTCTAAGATTCGCATAATTTGAAATTTGTCGCACACATAATTCTGAAATGAAAAATCATAATTCTAATACTCTAGTGTCAGAGACGAATTGTTTATTCGCACAACCAAAATTTGGCGGTTCAGCCAAAACTTTGAGTTTGGAATGTGCTGGAATTGAAAAATATGTCTAAAATTGCTCAAAATTCACCAATAATCAGTAGCCTAAATACTAAGCAAAATTGCCTGGACGTTAAGCTAGTATTATTGATTATTGCGTTTTGCGAAATGTATGACCCCTGCAGATCGCTATGTCACGGAAAAATCAGCAGATTCTGGCAGATTTTTTGATTCTCTGAAATGTTAAAGATTAAATGGGGGTGAGTCAATAGAAATCAAGCAAAATTTTTATAATAAAAATTTTTTATAACTTTAAACAAGAATAATTTAACAAAACTTTGACCAAATTTAATAAAATCTTTTAAATAATTTTACAAACTTGTAAAATTAATATTAAAAAAATTATTAAATTTGATTAAGTTTTTGTTAGTTATCCTTTAAATTTTTTTAAAAACCTATTAAAAATATTTGCTCCCAAATATAGGTATTACTGATTAAAAATATAATATACAGAAGGTTTAGTATCTAAGAAATTTCCAGCTATAAACAACGAAAGTCACAATGTCACACCTTTTTGCAAAGCCGACCTGGCTCCGATGCATTCTGACTAGAGATTGGCACGCGCGTGATGCGCGGGATTTTTATCTGGCCTGCTTTAACATATTTACCGTAAATTCTCGAAATATCAAATTTTGACCCGAATTAAGCTTAATTTGGGCCGAGATTCGAAACAATGCCCACGCCCCTATTTCGAAAATTTACGGTAGAACAGTAAATTTGACTTTCAATAAATTTGCTTGTTTTTATTGGACACAAAAAATTAAGAATCCAGCAGATTTGTGATCCTATCCCGCGCGGGATTTTTGAAAAAACTGCGATTTGCCCATATCTAATTCTGACTCTAAATTTTGACAAATTTATTGAATTTAACAAAGGTAGAATCGTTACCCAAAAAAATTTCAAATATTTCTCAGTAAAATCTTGTACTGTTAAATTAGGTTAGGATGTTGAGGGTTTGAAAATACTACTTTACCAAAACCTTGCGAGAAAAAAATTTTTATTAATCCGCGGAAGGCAGTTTTACAGATTAATTTGAATTATTATCAATTTTGACAAAACGAACTTTGGTTTGAATTTTTCTGATCATGCTACGTTTAAGGTTGGAGTATGGTCCCTTAAGCAGAGTGGCACGCCCTATTGTGCGATTATAAATGAAATTAAAGCATGCCAATTACTATTTGTTTTACTAACTTTAGCTTAATAACTACACCAAGAATCTCTAGAAATTCAGCATTGGTCAATCAAATTCAAAATCAAGTGTAACGTGCAAATTCAAAGTAATAAGTATGGGAAGATCGAAGATCAAGGAACTAAGTGATATATTTGTGGTCATCACATCACATGATTAAACATTCGGCCTAAGACGTTAGGTTAGGTAATAGTTAGTTTAGGCCAATTTGTTAGTGCGAGTAAACAAATTACGTCATTCATAACTGCACGTGATGTGATGACCACTAATATATCATTGACTCCCAGTTGCATATCTCGTGCTCCAACCCTAGTGACGTTACTCCTAATCTTGAAATTTGATTGGCCAGTTGCTGAATTTTGTTACTCGACTAATTTATCCTCCAGAGACAACAATAGCAGAACTGCAGGCTGTTGTTCAATTTTCGTATAATGACGACCCAATTCTAATAACGTTAATTAGATAAATATCTGGAAATTTGGACTGCACGTTGTTCGTGAAATTTTGCTATACTATAGTCCTTTCTAACCAGTATTTGTACCTAAGCCCTAACATAAATTATGTACGGAAAATTAATCCTATGTCAAGACTTGCTAGGGTTTATAATTTCTGACTGTTGGAGTGGTAGATTACATATGAAAATTAACCGATATTTTTAACCCTTGCTAAGAGCACGCACCCTTAGGTGCGAATTCATTCTTAAATGCAAAATATTTTATGTTATCTTATATTATCAGAGTGAAATAATCATGGGCAAAAAACTGGCGGTCCCGTGACTAATCTAACAATATTATCCTAATTTCGTCTAAATATTAATAAAATAAAAATAATATATCTAAATTTTTTGTTTAATAATAGAAAACTAGTTTCCATAGCAAATTTAAGTTTTTGTGATTTCTCGTTGTTTTTCGTCTTTATTTTTTTCTTCAAATTTGTATGTTCTTACAATCGAATTGGATAAAAATACAAATTTTTGCGCCATGACTATTTCATTCATATTATCATATCGGAAAAATTTTTCTAAACGTAAACCTTTTAATGCAATGATTCCTGATAGTTTGGACTTAGAGAAGGTTGACTGTGTTAGAAAACAAAAATACATAAAAGAAGCTTATACAGTATAAGTTAATAATCCATGCAAAAAAAAAAAAAAATTATAATACAGTCAAACCTCCATAAATACATATTCTTTAAATGCATAGTCTTTCTAAATACATGGCACTGTTTGGCCCAACG